CTTGGCAACTTGAAGATGTCTGGACTTCAAGTTGCCAAGGTTGAGAAACACTGGGTTAAGGCATCAGGCTTGAAATCAGGAGATTATGAATTCTTGTCCTACCTTAAGTACAATCCCAGCTGAGTGATCTTTGGCCATTCTTTGGCAATGGCAAACCACTTCTGGGAAACCCTGCGAAGAAAACCTCAGATACTTCTGCAGGCAGTCCCTGAGAATTAGACACAGCTATTGTAGGAAAATATTGGAGGACAAAATTATAATTGATAAGTCTATTTGCATAGTTCTGTTTGTATTAATAGTAATTTTATTCAACATTACAATTAAAAAGATAACTAATACAAGCTACAAAGAATAGTAAGAAAGAATAGAAAGTGCAGGAAGGAGAAATATATAAAGAAACTTTGAAAAGAAGAATAAATAAGAATATAGTAAAGAAAAATATACGTAAAGAAATGACTTATCCCTTCATCACAAGTATACACAATTTTAGTTACTTATCACTTTCTCTTAAAATACAACGAATGATATCTTCTTCCCATATCTCATCTCTTATATATAAATAGATTCTTAAAGCAAATGAAGGCAAATATACGAGTCCCAGGACAATGTTGCAGGATCCAATCTGGGTCAGTCATGGGGACTAGAGGTTTAGTTTTCTGAGTTTTCAGACTTGTGCTGGAGCCCATCCTCAGGAAACTTCTCTCCAATGGAATATGTGCTTTCTATTCTATGTATTTGTGTGGTGCCTAATTCCATGTAGCTTTTTAACAATTGTTGATTGGGGTATTGATAGCCAACTATGTAGTTGGCTGTTGTTTCTTTGATGTGCAAAGTCCTCACCTTCTAAGTAGCTGATAAGCTGGTGTTGAATCAGCACTTTGTTGACTGACAAGGGACCTGTTTCCCAGGCTTTAGTGCGTGGCTACCTTTGTACCTGCTCAGCCAACAATTTTAGTAGCTGCAAAATTAAATGTATGTCCTTGTTCATTGCAATGTGATGCTACCAATAACTTTGAGTCTCCTTGTCTGACCTCTGTTGTTCAGTCCTGTTCAGAAAAAAAAATCCATTAAGAGTTAACAGAGATAGCATGTCTACTTTAACATGCTTACTTACTCAAATAAACACACTTCATATTTCTTTCTTTTATTTGTAACAATCTTAAACTTTAATCCAGTGTTTCTCAATCATGACAACCTGAAAATGCGTCAACTTCAACTCGCAGAATTCTTCAGAGAACATCTAGCTAGGGAATTCTGGGAGTTGAAGTCCATACATTCTCAGGGTACCAAGGTTGAGAAACACTGCTTTAATTTCTTCAAATATTATCATAGAACTTGATCTCATTTTTTTTATCTCTTCCCACAAAATTTTTCAAAATTGATCTCTTTTGTAAGTCCAATATAAAAAAGTTATCTAAGTCACTCTTTTTGTTTGTTATTTGTATATCCCTTTTTATTATTAAAATTTCAGCTAGTGTATATCCACTGTAGCATCTTTTTTATATTATTCTTTTAGCCTATTATTTTTAAAACCATTTGCAGATCAGTCTATTTTGTCTAAATCCTCTTCCATAATATTTTTTTTAACAATGGCCTATCTATAATGGGAGAAACTCTTAAAATTAACTTCTGAGTTCCTGTCACAAATATACTTCACTTCCTTAGAAAAGGAAGTATGTGAACCCAGTGTTCTTGTAAAGGCACCAATCATGGTTTGAGCAACATGGTTATTTCCTCATCTCTCAAAGCTCTAAACCCACTGGAAACCGCTATCTTGCAGTAGGAGGAGCAACTGTCTGGAGCAATTGTGGGCAATCTCAAGTCCTCTCTTTGTCTGTAGAAGAATTATGAAGAGCAGGTCTTCTTGTTGGCTTTCATTCTGCTGCAATCTTAAATTTCCCATTTATTCCTGGAAGTTCCCACAGAGTTCTGATGATAAGACTGCATTAAACTAAATAGATGATGGAATTATTCCACATCCACATGTAGATTCTTGTGTGTAGTCAGATTTGAAGCTTATGATTTTTAGTACTTCTTATAATGATGTATGCAAAATTGCAAGTGACTTATGCAAAATGACAATATTTTATGTCCTCTATAGTCCTGNAGATAGATAGATAGAATGAGAATTGCATTTTATACAGGCTTCTTTTATTAAATAAACATTTCTGCATACAATGTTAAAAATTGCCCCAAAAATGGAAAAGCTTGGGTCCTTAGACAGACTAAAATACAGGCTTCTTTTATTAGCGTAATGTAATATTCTCATTTTGGATCTATTCTATCCAATTCCAATTATGTTTTT